TTGTCCTGCTACCGTGCACTGCTACAAAGACCCTGTCTCCATCCATACGATGGTCTGCTTGTAGGTAGGAAAGGCAGCTCTGAGGTGCCCCCAAAGCTTTCCCTTCTGCAGGTAGAAGAAACTCTCCCTTCAAGCTCTTCTTGCAAGTTAGGTGCTGCAGCTCCTAAGACTCAGCTGGGCTTGCTTGTCATCAGTGCCACCTTTTTCTACATTGTCCAAGGACTTGCGTAACTACCTATCTGGCTTATCTACATGTCTTGCCCTGTGACCTCTTTTAGCAATGGCTCTAATTCAGAAATCAAATGATAGCATGTTTTAGTATCTTCTAAATGTTTTCTGACAACAGCCACCTTCCAACATCATCCTTGTAGATCCAAATGCCTCTTGAAATACCAAGTGATTGAAACTTAAATGGTAGAGTACGTAACATGAAGCTCAGCAAAAAATTGACTGGAACACTGCTATCTGAATGAGACCATTCCAAATTGCTAATAGATCTTGGGAAATGTATTACCACTGTTCTTATGTAAAACTGCATTTTTGCATATAGCCATGCTACACAAGAATGATTTTTTAAAAAAATGCTGCTTTTGCAGTGAACCTCTAACACACTATGAAAAAATAGTTCCAATATTTATTTTTTAAATTTTTCAGAAGTCTTTTAAAATCAGGTGACTAAAATTTAGTTCTTGAATGTGAGTGCTGCAGTTTCATTTTGAGGAGTTCTGAGTAGCTGCAGACCTCACTGAAGCACTGGAAATTTCTGATGCTATTACTGAGTGGCACTGGTGGAAATTTGAGGGCCGTTACACATTGAGATCTATGCTAGATCACCTAAATTCCATTATCCTGTAGTATCTGGGAGGTCTGATTAACTGTTATCAAAGTCCAGAGTTCCTACTCAATTTTCTGACATGTTAGTGCTTTTCAATCCCATGGTGAAGGTGAACAAATCCACTTAAAGATTAAAAGATCAAAAGAACATACCTGTAGGTTACAGGAAAATGACCCAAACATAGTTTTAACTCCAAATCAGTCTCTGAGCTGAACATTATGGCTCACACCTTGTTTTCATGTCATATTTCTCCACTGTGTGATAATTTCATTTGCCACATTGTTTAGGAATAATGAATGAATGTGAATTATACAGATGATCCCAATTAAATGTCAGAAAAATCCAGCCAGAAGGGTCCATTCTGTATTTATACCTAAGGAAAAAAAAAAAAAAAATTAATAATTAAAGAGTTAACTTATGCGTACTGTTTTTCATATAGTACCTGCAAAATTCATGCTGCCATAATGGGTCAGGCAGGCTTTGGAATTACACAAATATCAAACAAAAAATGTAATTTCCCTATCTTCAGGGAGTTATGAATTTAAAATTTGATACCTTGTGAACCCCTTGGTCTATGTACAAATTTTATGCTTCACCAGAAAGCATGGAATCCTAGTTCTTCAAAGGGATAAGATACAGATGTTTCTGTGCTGGTGATTCATTGTATAGTAAAATGTCACTGCCTAGAGAACAGCACTGCATACTGAAATTTAATTTCACCTGATTCCCATTTGGAGGGAAAGAAGGAAACATTTTTATGTTATAAAAAAAAAAGAAAAAGAAATGGCAGCTGTTTGAAATTTGCTGAGAGGTTTGGAATGTAGTTTTAGTTGAGGTGTATTAGCAGGCAGAAAGCAAGCAAAGTTGTAAAAGGTGCAAAATAGGTCCATGATACTGTTCTTATGTCTGTCTTACGAACACAGGTATCAGGAAAGCATTTGAGTGTGACCAAAATTCTATATACTCACTTGCATTTATTGTGCAGATAAATATGCTTGGGAACTGGAGCTTTAGAGGCAATAGTCTTATGGTTCGAATGGTTCAAGCTGGGTTTCTTAGAATTAAGCTGATTTTACTTAAGTGCCCGAATATGGGTTTCTGTTTATAAACATACGTGCTTCACTCTGTGTTAGTGTGCCTGCATTTGTAATGGAGTTCACAAGCCTGGGATTCAGTACCAAAGTAAACTCCACTGAGCTAGAGTTTCAGAAGTATGATTTACAGCAAAGGGAACATCTATGCCAAACAACAGAAAACACTCAAGAGAAAGATATTTCTGAAAATGTATTTATCTTCTGGTTTTAGGATCTTGTACAATATAGTTTCAGAGCTGGAAACCACCTTCTTGTACTTAGACATCCATATATCTCTGTGTCACCATTTAAACCAGGATAGCATGTGCATCACGAAAAGAAGCAAAACTAAATGAAATCAAAAATATGCAAAAGAAGGACATGAGGTAGAAAAAATGGATTCAGCACTTTCCTTAGATTGAGGGAATTAAGTTCACATTTCCATTTCCCAGGAAATTCCCTATATACAAGCCTTGAAGAGATTAAAAAAGTAAAGCCTCTCCTGGTGTATGACTCAGTGTAGAAAAAGATGTGAGATTTGTAATCTTGATTTAGGCAGAGAGTTAAACGTGATTTCATAGCTCAAGGATGGAGGTGCTTACCTGCTGGGGGAAGGAGGAGGGGAGGCAACCTGGATTCTGGCCCCTGCTTCAAGCACTATGTACGTATGTTACTCAATTACAAATGCAAAATGTGTAGGCAGCCCCTCGGGCAAGAACCCAGGACTTCCTCTTCAAAAGGAGCACCTATTAGGGTTGCAAATTATCCTCTTTCAATGAATCTGGCTTCCTCTCCAGTACAGAAGTATGGCTTCAGGAGGCAAGACAGACAGTTCTCCAGCCTGCGCTTCACCTGGAGTTGGTGGCAGATGCACTCCTGGGAGGTGTGGGAAAGATCTCCTCAGAAAGAGACTAGCAGTGAACATGCATCTCCCAGTTCACGGAAGAGTGCCTTATCTACAACTAAGATATTATGTAAGACGTTGGCAGTCATGCTGCTACAACCTCTGGACATGTTTCTGGGAGAAAGTCTCTGGGGCTGTTGTGTTTCATGATGAGGCTGTTGTATGTTAGTCTTACCTCATGAAGCCTCTCAGGAGGTGCCTCACCTGTACATCACGCAGGCTTTGGGGCAAGGTAGGTTTCAAGGTTCTCAGCTGTATAGAAATAGCAATAGCAATTTGGAAATGCAATAGCAGAACTTCTAGATCATTTTATCAGCAAAAACCTGATGCAGAATTTTGTGGTGGTTTTGCATACATGTGTAAATATAGCTTCCTCGCATTCTTGTTGCTGTTCTTGAATTTGTCTGTCGGTGACTTTCTCAAAGTTATTTTGTGATCCAGCAGCAGGGTATCAAATTAGAACCCAGAAATCCTGCTCTGCTAGAGTCTCTCTGTAAGACATGTAAATATATTTACAATTAAAACCAGTATTTTAATGTTTTGTTGGAAAAGAAGTAGCTGGCACCTATCTGATTTTGAGAAAAAAACTCCTCTGACACTCTCCATATCCATTAAATATTTTGTCTCTATGTTATTGTCATGGGTTTGTTATTTCCTTGAAAGATTTTCTGAGAGGTTCTTTTTCAATCTCTCTGTTCTCCAGTCCCTGTTATCTTTTATTCTGGGTTCTGTTCCCTCAGGAGACTATAATCCTGCTTGCTTTGCTCCTCTCATCATGTACTTCCTTCCAAAGGGACTACTTGTCTAAATGAAGCAACAGGAGGATGAAGGGCAGATGTTTTTTACTATTATTTTGAATACAATATTATAAATGCACACTTGTAGCTTTTATGCATCAAGGAATACATTATATTTGCTTTGGATAATGCTAAACAATCTATAACAAATTAGTATTTACAGTAAAAAAATACACAGAAGACTACAGCAGGAACAGCTTTCAAATATGATTTGTCTTTAAAAAAAAATTGGTTAAGTCAGTTTCTGCTCTTAGGCTTCAGTTCAGAGAAGCATTTACACCACCACTGAATAAGGTATTTAAGTACATTTTTAAGTTTTATGTGGTATGAGAAATTTTGGTAAATGGGTCCTTATTTGGGAGAACATCATAGCCACGTAGATTTTGGTCCCTACTGTGCTTATGGCTGCTTCCTTTCTTCAGTTCACTGTATTAGTATTCATTCTTTAGTGGGTCCAGTTCATCCAGTTTGAATATTGATTCACCAGAAAGAACTTGAGGATTATCTTCCCTTTGTGAAAAAGTAACTTCCAAATGGTAATGTGCTCTTTGACGGTTTTGGTTTTTGGTTGGTTTTGGTGAGGTGTTTTTTTGCACTACTTGTTACGTATTTTGAATTTGGGCAAGTAGGCCCCACCTTGCTTTTTCTGTTGGTCATCTAAAATGGTGATACAACTGCAACCTCAGTAACATGGATCTGAAGCTCATCAAACTTTCAAATATATATTCAACACCTCCTAGAAATAAGGAGTTAAGAGATGTCCAAGAAATGAGAGACTTTTTATTTAGTGGATGAAGAAGGAAACAAAAATACTGCATCTCTTCCCCTCACTCACTGTACCTGGATTTAAAATTAGTGCCAATGAACTGAAGACACTGCTCCTGTCTGAAAAAAAAAAAAGGGTTTCCTCAATCAATGTCAGCTGAAAGCTTTGGCCTTAACCAGTGTGTTTCACTGCTAGCCACACACAAGGCTCCTTTCCCCTAACCACCTGTATACTGTCTTCTTTGCACCAGAGGGCAAGAACCCTTTAGAACCAAAGCTGAGGATTGCCTCTAAGGAAAATTCCATTTTATTTTTTTTTTTCACTCATCATTTATTTACAAATACACATTATAACTTTTATATACATTGCACATTTACATGGTAGAAAAGTACAAAACTATATATTTAAATGAATTTATATTTAACTCGCCATGTTTGAAAATATAAAATTGCATCAGAAAAAAAGTATTATGAAAAGCAAGAAACTTGAACTGATAAAGCTTTGATATAACTTTTAGTGACACACTGATTGGGAAAGAAAACTTTGAAAGTGGTACTGAAAGACCATCTTAAAGGAAACACCTGATAAAACAGTTATGCATGTTACAAAAAAAACCCCGAAACAATAAAAATAAAATAAAACCTTTATTCTTATTACAGTAAGCCCTGTAGTTAACAACCTTCATAATCCGATTTCTTTGGGTCTGGAATTTGTATAGTACAGTATAAATGCTCAGAACATTGAGATCACTTCAGTACATGATGTGATCAGTAAAGGAAAGCGAAGTGGAAGAAGTTTCCTTAAAGATTGCCTCACTGCACCCTGGAAGTATACTTAAGTCAGTTACAACGCCTTTTGGTCAGTCAAGATTCCTTGTAAACAAAAACCCGAGGAGCTTTTACGTACAGAACCGGCAAGAAGAAAATCCAATAAATAAACATAATAGAAACCAACATGCAAGTTTGTTAAAGTGGAAAAGAGTTAACATCAGTGAAACAGATGAGATCATGTGGGTAAGCTCTAAGGAATGGACTTTTATAGTTTGCAAGAAAAAAGAAAAGCTTTACTTTACAAGCAAGAGACCTCACAATAAATAACACTGCTCTTCCCGTAACGAATAAATTTCTTCAAAAAACAAGGTGTACAGTCAACCAGACATTTTATGTATAAATTATAAAACATGACACAGTATAAATAAATGTCTACGAGACTCAACTATATGTATACTTTTTTTTTTTTCTCCCCAAAATAAATAGGCATACACTTATGTACAGTATGGACATTGATTTTGTGCCCAATGGCTGTTCCAATAAGTGATGGAGCTTTTACCACTCTAGAATGGAAGATATAGGAAAGCTGTAGTCCTGGTCTTCATCTTCGTCTTCGTCCTCTGGGTCTTCATTAATGGCTAGATGGGGGAATACAGGGGAGCTGTTGTTTAAATAAGGACAACAACAGCGCAGAAGCAGCTCAGTGCATGTTTTCAAAGCCCTCTGAACAGCCATAATACAGCGTTGCATTTTATGCGACTTGTAGTGAGATGCTCTTTGGCATCTGCTGTTATGCAATAAGGTTTTTTATACGTAATCTATGAAGTCAAAACTGCAGGAAGTTCTGAAGAATCAATGGCTCAGGTTTTATTGGCAGATTCCTGAAATCAAATGAAAAGCGCTCTTGCGTTCTAGGTTTAATTGTTTTGTGTCCTTCATTCAGAGTTAGAAGAGGCAACTGTGCTCAACCAGATGCCCATGTGCTACCATTAGGCTTGTTCTTTTGGACCGAGTTAAGAGTTTATCAGGGCGTTAATAAAGCAATCAGCGAAGCACACGAGAGCAGACAAAGTAGGAAAAAAAAAAATCACTAGAATTACATTCTTAGGGCAACCCCTTTCTGACAGAATGACTTGTCCTTTGAATATCCCCAAAAAACCCAACTTGAAGGTCAGCTGGTTGTTGATCTATTGCATTTAATCAGTAACCAAAGTGTGTGCATGATAGGTACATACGTATATGTCACCTGTGCTGTATCTCAAATCTCCAAGTCGAGCTTTCTTATGTTTAAAGGCGTAAGTCTTCAGTACCTAGGGATTGCCTTCAGAAGCTTTAAGTGTCTGCAGAGTTAAAAATCTCACTTACAGTTGCAAGATCCAGAGTGCTTTACTTCTAGAAGCACACCCATGGAGCAGGCTGCCTCTTTCATGGCACACTCACTTGGGTAAGTGGTGTTATCGCTGGCACAGACTGCCTCGTCTGACTTGCTTTCAGGGCAGAGCTCATCGCAGAGGGCGCACCGACCTCTGCCAACCTTAAAATCCCACAGGCATTTCTTCCCAGCACTGCACTGAATGTCTTCACAGGATTTGGCTTCTAAAAATACACACAGGATACAAGAGGTAAGTGAAAAGACAAAAAAGAAAAGCAACAACAAACAACCCCAAATTCCTTTTCCCCTTGTGAACTGTGAATAGACAAAGCTCAGATGCAGGAGATGCGATGATACTTGCTGATTTTGCTCAAGCAAGTAGTCCCTCGGACACCATTGCCTGTCTATATGTGGGGGAGGAAAGACAGCTGTGCCAGCAGAGCTTGGCCCTGGGAATACAGAATTACATTTGCCTATTGTACATGACTTTCCTGCTTTGTTTGAAGTCTGTGGAAATTCAGCTCTCCAAATTAGTGGTAAGTGCAGAATTTGTCAACACATTCAGCATTTCTAAATCAATTATTTTTAAACTAACCCACACAGAGTAGTTGCCTACAAGACTGGAAAGAGAATTCACCTCAGCCTTTGCCAACTAAAAGCAGCCTCCCCCAAATTTCCTCAGCAGTTTTGGAGAGCAGCGCCTGCCCTGAAGGTGCTTCCTCATAACTTGCTTCACTATCAGTCCTTTCTGGAAATCACAGTACAAAATGTCAGGATGCACAGAGATTATTTTCCTATCTTCACCCACCAACTGTCTCCAAACTCTATATTATTTCTAAAGAGGGAAAAGTGATCAGATGTTTCCAATTAAGTTAAAGCAAGCTTTGCCAAGACCACTTGAAGACAATTGTTTCCAGGAATCCAGATCCACTGAATATCGAGACCTTGTTACACTGTAACCATGTCATCATCTATTTAATGGCGGCTACTTCTCCCTTGGATACTAATGTCAGCACCCACAGTGATAGCAAGAGAAGCAGAAACAGTCCCTCTACTCCCTCACCCCTTCCGCAGCCTTTTCTAGGGCAAAGCTCTCCCTGGCTCTCCTTCTTCTGGTGGGGAGCACTAACCCAGGCTGCTGGAAGCCTCTCCTCCTCCCCAGCACTCACTACGTCCATCCAATTGCACACACAGTACTCTGAAACTGCTGACCAAGGAAGCTCCCCCCCAGCTTACCCTCCTACCAAGATACCTACTGATGCATTTTCCTTCATAGGCTAATCCAATGGATCTGCCCAGTAGACAAGTAGCTTTCCTCAGGTGGCAGGCGCTGGCGTAAGTGATGCCATCATTCCCGCATAGATACTGTTCAGGGGAGGTAGGCTCTGGGCAAATTCGATTACATGTCACACAGTAGGCGTTGTTAGTTTGGTCAACCACACACGTGGAGCTGCCGGGGCATAAGACATCCCTACAGGTCTCTGAAACAAAGATGGAAACACACAGAGATTAACAGGAGGTCCTGGAGCCCTGTTGAGGAGTAAAAGGGTGCCACAATGAAACAAATGATCAGATTTGCCTTCACTGGCTCTCACCATTTAAGGGCAGCTGGAGGGAACTTTCCCAACTCAGGGTAGCTAGTGGGACACAAGTGCTGCTAGACTGTGAGGAACCCTCAATCCAGCTAGGGCCTTGTCTGCTGAGCATGGTTTAGCTACTGTCTCCCAGCATTAGGAACACCACTCTGGCTCCTGTGGGGAAGTACATCCAACAGCTCCTCCCTACACTCAGACACACACCCTTTGGCATTGGAGGGAGATGGGATTAGATATGCAAACCTACTTTTGCATTTGCCCTGATACTGGACTTCAAGTTCGGGCTGTTCTTTACATCTGGCTTTGAGAAGGGCACACTCGTTCCTGTAGGTTTTCCCATCTAAGCCACACACGGGACCCTTCCAAGTGATATTAGAGCAATCCGGAGCACAAACACACCGAGGTTTGTTCTTCTTGTTCATTTTACATTTCTTCCCGGGTCCACAGTCCACGTTCTCGCATGTTTCTGATGGAAGGAAAGAGGCACCACTTTAGTACCGAGTGTGCAGAACAGACCTGGTGTCAAAACTGCTTGAAGAAAAAAAAGACACTGTGACCCCAAAGCACAAACACCTTCCCCTCACCCCCCTCCGGGAAACACCACTCCAGGGAAATTGCCCCCGCCGCTGAGGGCTGGGGCAGAGGGGGTAAAGAAGAGGTCGCTCCCCTCCTCCCGGCGAGCAAGCAGAGATGGGGTTCCCTCACCCATCCCGGGGCCGGTATGAGACGCCCCTCAAAGGCCCAGCGAGAAAGGAGGCGGGAGGAGAACGCTCTGCCCCCGTCACCCCCCTCCTTTCCTTCCCAACTCCTCCTCCCCCAGGCCCTGTCTGCACCGCTTCCCAGCCAAGAGCAGCTCGCCAGCACCCCCTCACCTTTGCACGGGATGCAGTTTGGAGCTCCCCCATTAAAAATCATCCACTTAAAAAGCGTGTTGTCGTTGACGTCCTCCTCCGTCCACGAAGTCGTCAGGCGGCCGGTCTTGCAGCACTCCTCCTTGCTGAGGTCGGTTTTGTAGAGGACCTGGCAGCGGCCGTTCCGCGCCTGCCGGAGCCAGCAGTTCCCAGCTGCGGGGGGGCCGGGAGGACAGACAGGCAGACACCCAGCCGGGTCAGTGGCGGTCGCCAGTGACCCAGACACAACACGTGCGCTTCGCAGTGACTTTTACTAGACTGTTTACTTTTATTTGTCCCGTTTCATAACCCGCAACTACTCCGGCCCACTGGGGAGAGCAGTCGAAAAATTTAAAAATTAAAAAAAAAAAAAACAAAAAAAAACCCGCAACCCAACAAACTGACCCCACCACCACCACCACAACCACCAACAACCAAACCCCCAAAACCCACCCTCCCCCAAAAGAAACTCAGAGAAAACCCGATCAAAGCAGGACGAGGCAGTTTTCGGAGGTATTTATTCCATATGTAGAGCAGGAGCACTGCCGGCACGTGACAGAGGCTTGAAAAGGATGTGCATTTAAAAGGGAATAAAAAGAAAATCGCGCTTGCAAATTCCTTCCTCCTCCCCCTGCCCTCTCCTCCTCACCGTGGCTGCACAGCAGCATTGTTTTAGTGCCGCACAGTGTTTCAGTCTCAGCCCATTTTGCAATCTGCACGAATTGGGAACATTTGCTCTTAGCGAGGTCTTTCGAAATCCCCACATTTTGCTGCTTCTATTAACAAATGTCTTTCCTTCACTAAAATGAATCAGCAGAGCTCCCAAAAAGTGAGCAAAGTACATAAAATACAAGGGCACACAGAGTAGGAGGTCCCTACAGAGTTTTAGAAATCGATCAAGCTGGAAAAGTTGTAGGTGCCGTCTCTCCCGCACGCATTTCAGAAGAAAGTACACTGACCTTACACCGGATAGAGTGGGTTTGGGGATTTTTTTTTTCCCCCTTTTTATTTTTTTACTAGTATCCCTGTTATTCGTGGAGTCAAGCCAAGAACATTAGTCCAAGCAACTCCCCCTTTTTCAGCTGGAGAGTTTTGGTTGGGATGAGTCTCTCGTGAATAACCAATGTGACTTCTCCAGCAACTCAGTACCAATTGATTATGGTGCTAATCCAGCCAGGTCTCGATCCTGCCTCCTTACTCCAATGGCAGCGAAGGGCCAGGATCGGCCAGACGGGATGTCGCTGGGCGCGGGGGAATATCCCCCTTCATTCTCTCCCCCCCCCCCGCCCTAAAAATCATTGCACAAACAACGCCTCTAAAAAAAAAAAAATAAAGTTTTACGCCTCACTGTTGCCCACATTAGGTTAATTTATGCTCTAGTGGGAGAGAAAAGGAATTAAAAAACATAGAACAAGCAATGGTAAGACATCCAGGCTGGGGCTGGAGCACAGTCAAGATACGGGGAAAAAGCCCCCAAACTAAAAATCATTATTCCCTTGTGTCGAAAGAGGGCTCTTAAGAGTTGTCAAAAAAGCAGGTTCGGGTTTGTTTTGCTCGCAAGAAAAAAAAAAGGCAACAAAAAACCCCAAACCAACTCATTTAAACCTAATCTTCAGTGCAGGGGAATTTACACCACTACCATTTATTCACATACACCAAAAAAGGGGGGGGGGGGGAGGAGGAAATTCTAATATTAAAGGAATGTCCGGAAAATGACCACTTACTGGTTCCTAAAAATGTCAGCTGTAATCGTGGGGCTCCCCATCATCACCTCTCCTTCCGTCAGGAAGGAGGCGAGATAAAAATCTGAGCTAAATTACCAACAAACTTTGAGCACTCAAGCGGGAGCTGCGACTGGGAAAGTTCCCTCGCGATGCTGCTCTTCATTCACGCTGCATAATAACAGTAAATACCAAGAAACATCCTTATCTGTCCTCTGCGCCCATGCAGAGCAGTGCGAAGATCCGATCAAAAAGGCATTTAAATGACACCTCAGTACAAAGCAATCCCATGCCCAGTTAACTTCTGTCCTGTTGGACCTTGGAGAGAGGCGCTTAACACCGCAGCCAACGAGACCGTGCCCGAAAGACGGAAAGCAATAGTAGTAATAATAAAGAAACGCATCTGCGAATAAACAGTCTGGTCTTACCCTGCACTGTGTGATCTTCCATGAAGTGGCACAGAAACATCAGGAGTAAGAGCATGCCCGGCTGGATTCTCTGATTTAACATCCTCAGTGTAGCAGCGAGTGAGAGACACAGAGACGGCGTGAGGGGGAGTAGGGAGAGGGAGCGAGCACTAACCAGCCTGCTTATGATCGCTCTATTGAATGAACGTCAGGCTCTGAATGCAGTCTCTCTTTAAATCTATACGGGGGTCCTAGCTGTCTGCGGTGGGCGGTCTCCTAATGTGTGTGTGTGTGCGTGTGTGTGTGTGTGTGTGTGTGTGCGCGTGTGTGTGTGTCTGCTCGGGGGTGGGGAGATTTAAAAAGTTCAGTGTGAATCAGGTGACATTTTCCACCTTCTGGAAGCCCTCTCCAATTATCTGCTCTAGGTGCACGCAGGCTCCGGCGCGCACCCGCGCAGCCCCGCTCGCCGCAGGAGCCGGAGCCCTCCGGCACGGCCGCGGACGGCAGAGCGAGCCCCTCGTCGCCTCCGCTGCGGAGTCCCCCGCGCCCTCGCAAACTGGAGACCCGGGGAGGTCGCGGCCTCTCCAGGGGCGCCCCTCGCCCCCTTTGCGGAGAAGCGTTGGGAGCGGGGGGGGGGGGCGGGGCGCGGAGGGTTCCGCGGCCGCGGAGAGCTGTCGTCCTCGCGCGAAGCAGCTGCTAAGATTAAACCTTGTTCCCCGCGCCCGCGAGGGGCGGCTGGGGCGCGCATTGCTGGCTCAGCGGGAATCGGCCCCCGAAATACCCCAACCTGAACGTACCAGCCCACCGACCTGCCCAAGCCCCAAAACAACCACCGACAGAAAAACAAAATATCGAAAAGGGAAAAAGAACCAAATAAAAGTTTAATACCTAGGGCTGTGCCCAAGTGACAGCCTTTTCAGTGGGAGCCCGGGAGGACGAGACGGGAATGGGGGCGACGTAGGCGGTCTCCTTTCAGAATCAGAAAAGATTGCAACATCGATAATGAACTTCTAGGGCACTAGTTTATTAAGCACAGTCTGGCATTATTCTCCCCTTAGAAAAGTTGGCGGTCTCTCATTTATAACATTTTTTGGCACCGCTGAATGAAACTGAGTAGGCGATATTTCCTTTTATACAAAACGATTACTTAACGGAAAATGGTATTGTTTATTCAAAAGCTGCCTTTTAAATTTCGATTCTTTCGCTTTTCTGAGCCACCAAAGCACAACAGACTGCGAAGTATGCAGACAGGAATGCCCGGACAGTGCCGGGTCAGGGGCCGGTGCGCCGCGGCCGCCCGCGCCCTCCGCCGGGCCCTCCCCACACCCCTCCTCCCGCTCCCGCCCCACGGTACCGCGCAACCCCCCCCCCCCCCCCCCCCCGCCCCCTCCCCACAACTGCAAATAACTCAGTGATAACAGATTTTTTTCCACCAACTGCAGGAGATAGTGCTAATCTTTTAATAAAAGATCCCATTACAATGGGATCTGTCTGGACAGACTATAATAGATCCAGAAATACAGCCGTGCTAATATTAGAAGACAGTTGTTTGGGTGCCTCAGATCGGGCCCTGGTCCCGCTTTGAAAGTGGGCATGAATCACAATGTCCCCCGGTACCACCTGCGGTCACACGCATTAAGAAGCAGACTGGTAAATGATTGACCTCGCTGCATTTTTTTTCCTTTTTTTTTTGTTATTATGATCATCGTCCTGAGCAGCTCTCGGGCATTTTGAGCACTTCAGAAGCTCCAGGACTCCACATCCTTTTTAGTCTTTTCCCAAATTGGTGCCACTCTCCCCCCCCCCCCCCAACTCCCCCTTCCTTTCCCTCCCCGCTCTCAGGAGCAGCGTTAATGCAGGGTTGCTTAGTGCCCTCTAATGGCAGACACTAACAATACCAAAACACCCTGCACCCCTTCGTCGCGGATGAAGGGCTGCTTCCAAACCCTGCTTCTCCTGCCGGAGAGGATGGATGAGGGGAGCAAGGTGCACCCTCCCCCCCACCCCGGGGCTGGTCCCCACTGGCACGGCTGTTACGGGCTGTGCGGGCACCGGGGGAGCCAGGCGGGATCGGGCCGTCGTGGGGGGGGGTGGGGGGGGTGCGACAGGGGTGCGACGGGGGTTGTTGGAAGGGGCGCTGGGCCCGCAGAGGCAGCGGGGACGGCCTGGCTGTCCTCGCCGCACCCTTCCGCGCTCCCGCGGAGTCCCCTCCAACTCGCTCCGCGGGGTCCGGCCGTCGCAGCTCCGCTGCGCACCTCTGGAAGCAACGTATTGCACATCCCGCCGCCCCCCCCCCCCCCGCTTCCCCTCCGCGGCAGGACGGGGGCCGAGCCGCTTCCCACCCAAGCATGGTGTCCTGGGATGGGGGGGGTTCGAGGAGGGGGGTCCTGGCTGCAGGGCGGGGAGCGCAGGCGGCTGCTCCCGAAGGAGGGGCACAGCCCGGCCGCGGTGCCGTGCGTGCTGCGGGGCGAGGCGCACCTTTTCTTAACGCGTTTGTCTGTGTTTTTTAATAATTGGCCAGTACGGTGTTTATCCTGATAATGTTTTCAATTATAGAGAGGCATTTTCAGGCCGTATTCCTGGAAATGAGATGCCAGATGGGTCGATAACGTTTGCACATGTGCTTCATGCGTGCATCATCAGGAGATCAATATGATTGCCCTGGTATGGAGATTTGTATCACACCTGTTCTCTGACATCACATAGAAACAGCTGCTGTTTCTTTTATTGTTGTTTTTTTTTTTTTTTATTCTCTCTCCCCCCCCTTCTTTTTTAAATGCTAAATATTGGGCTTGTGTGTAACAACGTCAGGCATATATTGTATAATCAGAAATGCTTGCTTCTTTCTCACTGTGTGCCTCCCTGTACGAACCTCCCCACCCCTTTCTGCTTTGCCAACAATCACATTTAAATTACCAAAAATACAATAGGGTCGATCTGTAATAGAATTGCCAGGCAGCACACAAAAAGAGTGTTGTTCTCAGCCTGACAGGTTTTAAAACTTCTTTCTCCCAAGAAGTGTATGCATTTTAATATATGTTTTTGGATGTGAATCCAATCTTTGCAGCTGGCCATGATCTTGTAATAATAAAGGCTTTTAAAAACCCCATATATACCAACATCTCAGACTTTCAGAAAGTTCAGATTTAGCTTTCAATTTACATAAAATGTATATTATTGTCCTATCTGTAATATAGCTGTAGCTACAACAGGGACTCCATAATCCAAAATGCTAAGTGGTTGGTCTCTGAAGAAGATTGCAGCAAAGTTCTAAGCAGGAGGAAAAATAATCCCCAAGAATAACTTTGTATGACGTGCTATTAGCATGCATATATATCTACACACACACACACACACACATACATAAACATATGGGGAATATTTATTTTGTGATAAGTCAGTATTCATTGCACTAGTATAATGTATTATCTTTTACTCTTTTCTCCTCAATGAGCTGCCTCTCAACAGCAGTTGCTCATATCAAGAATGGAAAAACAGCAGACCCTCTCTTCTATAAGGAGTGTGTCTTCATAACATTTTGCAAGGGTATGGACAGGATTCCAAGGAAAAACTGGTTATTTGGAAAGGATCTGGATTTTGGGCGTGTGAAAATTGGAAGGCCTATCCTGGGCATTTTCTAACCTAACATTCAAGGAAGAGGAAAAAGACTCAAACACCCTCCTGTGGTCCTGGGTGCATGCATCATCCAATGTGGTTTGTCGCACAACTGGCTTTTCCCACAGACCAAGCGCTCATATAAAGGTAGAACGTCCTCTTCTGGTAGGAGAGAAAACTTGTTAACCTTTGTTCCCATCTAATTGTCTGGCTTATCACAAAAAGAAGGGCCTGTTTCTGGAAAACTGCACTTTTACGAAGGTTCCCTTCTTTTTGCATTTCAGGTATCAGTTTTAAGGACTATTCTGAACACTGATGTATTGTTCCATTTGAAAAGCTTCCCCCCAAATTTGTTTTTTTCTTTCCATGTGTAGGGCAATACAACAGCCTTTTCTGCAGAAATTTCATATGCTGTTTCTCAGCATAAAGTAGCATAAAAATTTGCATTATAAAGGTTCATTTCTTGATTTGGCCAAGAATTTTCCATGAAAATCAAACAAATAAATTCCTGATAAAACT